AACATATCAATTTCGAATGAGGCTAAAAATTCAGTAAGAAACAACGTCAACCTGTTAACACGAGTATTGATCAATAGTAAAACGGCTTAAAACAGGGTAAAAGTTTTAATTTAAGCTGTGGGGCTTTTGAAACCTAAAACGACCGGCGTCTCTTTTTTTAGTACAGCTATAGTTAAGAAAGAGACGGTAATGGACTCGACGGTGTGCTTATTATCCATTATTACTATACAGTTTAAAGCGCCCAATATTTTTGGTTCTGAAAGTACCGCAACTTAAAATCGCTTTTGCTGTTAAGCAAAAGGAAATGTCAGAGAAGCAGTTTTTGCAAGAGTGCATACCAAGTAACCCACAGTAATAGTCAGTTATAATAAAACAGGTCTTGAATGCCGAACGACTAATGGCTGTGACCTCATCCAGGTATTTTCCCAAAGAGATTATTAAGTATTTCCTCCCATCCTGAGAAAATAGTCTGACTGCTGAGTTCAATGAAATGATTCAGGACCACAGTCAATATTAATTTGTTCCTCAGAATGCTGATGAAATTTTCATGGTCCCGTCCGCCATTGTAACAGCGAATCACCAAAATGAATTTGATGAAGAACTGCGTGAAGATACTGAAAATTAGTGATTGCAGCTAACACTGAGTACAGTATGATCAAAGATGCGTATGACCGCTGATATTCACTTTGGAAGAACAGGTCTGGCCAATGGCAACAGATAAAATTTCTAGCTACTGCCTATAAGCTCAGAATGTAGAACTTAGAGCTCTCGGAATCCTGGAACGGTGTTTCTCTACCAGCATGAGAAAGGAATGCAGTGCCACGGTCGCTAAAGTTTGCGGTATATAAAAGTTGCACTATTTTCTCGTCTCTTGTACCGTAGCAAAAGGTTGTTTATAACAAATATTATTTTAATATTTATCCAATCATTAATCGTTCAAGGTGAATGATGAATATCCTACTCGAATTAATAATCACACAAGCGCAATGAGTAATGAAATTGCTGATGTAGTATTGCATTCTATGAGCGTGTAAAAGAAACCTAAAGTAGTTTCGTTTTCCTTTCATCCACTGCATGATCACAATCCATGGATGCGGGATTCAAATTAGATCAGTTATGTTACATTTTATGTATTTATGTACACGTTAATAGATGCGGAATAAA